CCATACCTTTCTACTTTACACGTTTTTTCAGCAAATATATTACCCCCATCCCGATTGACTCCTAAGAGAAAAGACCATAAAAAGTGGAGGGGGATGGATGCCAGAGGCTGCACCGGAGTGGGAGGGGTGCTGGCCACAGATTTGGAAAGTGGAGAGGCCAGAATGGAACGATCTGTGCCAGGGATGTGGCGGGAGGAGGGTAGGAAGAAGCGGAGGAACCGGCGAGGAGTCCTTCTAGAACGGGCTCTTTGGGCCCAAAGCGCTCAGCCTGTCTCCCAGGTGAGGGGAAAGCAGTCCCCTCCACATCCCGCTGGCCAACAGAAGCACCTTCCAGGTTAGTAGGAACAGCATCTTTAACGGGCCCCGCCTCCCACGCCGTCTAATCCACCCCCCTTGCATGCAGCATTGGCCTCTTGCACAGAGGGGTGCAGGGTGCAGGCAGGGTCCCTGCAAGGAAGCGCCAACGGCCTGAGCAGCGAAGCTGCGCCCTCCCCCACACGGAACTTCTGGCCACCCAGAAAATAGTGGGGCAGCGCCCCGGCCTTGAGCACCTGGCCCAGCTCATCCAGTAGCCCTAGGCAGCAGGCGCCCGCATTCTAGGCTCGCGCAAGATAGAGCACGGGCAGCCGCTCACAGGCCCAGTAGAGCAACGTCCACAGGAGGTAGGGCGCCGCGACCCTAGTCCTGGCCACCAGAGGGCGCAGCAGCGCCTGGCCCGCCGCGTGCGCTTGCAACAGGGGAATGGGTATGCGAGTCTTGAGCGCCAGCTCTTGGCGGGCGAAGCAGAGCTGCCAACTGGAGGCATCTGGCTGCTCTGTGCCGCTCCCGCCGCCGCCGGGCACCAGGTAGAAGGAAGACGACTCTGAGGCCAGCGGGCCAGCCCACGAGTGGCTCTGAGCCCCCTGGGGCCAGCCGGCCATGGACACCACGGGGATCAAGTTGAAAAGCAGGAGGCGTCGCGGGGGCCCGGGCGTAGCCAGGAGGATGGTGGTGACACCCGCGTAGCGGGCTGCGTGGAGCATGCGCGGGGCACCCTGAACCGGAAACGGGGACTCAGCAACCGCAGCCAACAAAACAAAGAACCAGACCCCGACCTGGGCGAGGCTCAATATGGGCCATGCCTGCAGAGCCTCCAAGGGCTCTGGCACTGGGCTAACGTCTGTTGCTTTGGTGACGTCCACATTCGTTTTTTTCAGTGGTGAGGGAAAGTCAACATCGGTTACGTCT